CTCAAGTTATAACACTTTTTTTTCTAGCACCATTTCTACTTCTTGTCTTTTGTCATTGACTCCTTTCTTTGTTCAAAAAGATTTGCACTTTTCATATTTTGGGGGAGAGGGGAGATGGTAGAGGAAACAGGATTTTTGGAACTTACCCTCAAGATTCCTATAGTATATTCTGCAATAACTTGTAGTTCTTTCTATTTAAGGAAGGTCTAAGTTATTTCCTCCTGTCTCATTTTTCAATCTTTCAATATAAGCTAATAGATCTTTTCTCTGGGAGAGGAGATTAAGAACAGTCACAATACTTTCTGAAAAGTAACAACAATGAACAAACACAAAACCCAGAGTTCCAAGTCATAACAGGGTAGTTGTCTCCAACCCCATTCCTGGAAAGATTTTTGTTTTGATAATCATATTATAGTTATAGATATAAATAGAAGCAAATGTATGTTTATATTTGAATTAAGTGTGTTTATTTTCAATTTAGGAATTGTGTATTTACATATGTATATGTACATATATTATATTTATAAATATATACATACAAATATTTTTGTGTGTATACACACATACATACACCATGATAGATCCAGTATTCTTAATCTGGGGTCCATGTCTATGGATAGATTCCAGGGGGCCCACAAACTTGGATGGGGAAGAATTACATCTTTATTTTCACCAACCTCTAACTCAAATTTAACATTTCTTTCAATTATAAAATTAACACCTCTTCTCCCTCCCCCCTCACAACAAACCATGATTCTGAGAAGGGGCCCATTGGTGTTACCAGACTGCCATAGTTGTACGTGACAAAAAAAGGTTAAGAACCCCTGGCCTAGATGACCTATGGGATACCTTTTAGCTTTAGGAATCTACGATAGGAATCTATGATATGTTTTATATGTATATATATATATATATATATATATATATATATATATATACATATATATATATATATATACATATATATATATACATATATATATATATATGGTATGTATGTATGTATGTATGTATTGTATATATACATTCTCCCTCTTATAATCAAAAGACTACTGTTTGGGAAACATTTGAAATATAGAGAAAATATTGAGTAGTGAGTGGATCCAAGAAATAAGAAAATGTGACATTTTAGGAATAGTTCTATTTTTAATAGGATGGATTCTGCAGTGCTTGTCAGGTGATTTGATTTCCCACAGAGAAAAGGAAAACTTCATTTGGATTAGTTTCATGTCCCCTGTGGAACTGCAGACTCAGTGTATAATACCACTCAGTGTCTGTTTTTGTAATTAAAGAATACAATATAGCTTTTAGTTTTAAGTTTTAAAAATTTATTTAATTACAGTAAACCAAAACTAGTGAATTTTAGCCAGGAATAATCTCTAATGCGAGGAAAATATTCATTACACAGATGGAGGTATAGCCTAAAGATAGCTACTAATATGTTTAACACACTATTTTTGTTCTGTCAGTTTTAATACAAATGAAAGACAAAATGCATTCAGCCTACTTTTTTGCCACCCCAGGAGGAGAGTGGGCTGTTGTATATCCACAGAGGGATGCCCTCTCTGGGTTCAGCTGAGTGTGTTGGTGAGGAAATTATCTGCCCCTTGTGCAGAGGCAGATGACGTGGAAACTATTCTCAAGTGTACACCCAGCTGTATAGTTTCCATAGCAGGATTAACTAGAATGGGACCCTCAGTGTATGACCTATGTACCCTACTTGTACTTTGCTAAGGGTTGAGGGGAAGATTAAACTAACAATTTCCAAATACATCAAATGGGAAAGTAAAATTTTAACCAATATTTATGAAGTAGACATTTGTGTAATTGGATTGGCGTTTGTATAACGTGTGTGTGCAGTGTGTTTTTCCGTATTCATTGCCTTTTGGGCCTAGTCTACATGAGAAGAGGAAAGGGAAAATTTAGATAATTATTCAAATAATTTCATACCTTAATTCTGCAAATGAATAAAATTAATATGTATTGTTATCGAGTTGACTATCTTTATTGATCCATTGTGGGGAATTCCTTGGTTCCAGATTTTGGTTTCATTTTGCTTGTGTAGTCACAACCCAACCTCAGGATTATCCAGCCTTTTCTTCTTACCTCATACTTTATTGCTTCTTTCTTCATGGTTTTCCCATACCTTTGGCAAAATTTCTTCTGTTCAGTGAGAGAAAACAATTCTAACCTATTGAGTTCTTCTTGATTATTTGGAAGGGTAGCTATTGAGAATACTAGCTCCTCATGGTGCATTGGGTTTCCTTTGCTTACTCAAAGAGCTGAAGCAGATAAAGTGTACTTGTATGGACATATAACAGGACTGAACTCTACCACTAGGAATCTTGCAGCTCCATTCAAGATAGAGATTTAATTGAAACAAGCCACATCAAGAATGGACAAGGACTGGCTGAGCCAACACTTGAAGATACTAGTTCTGCTTTGTTGTTTGAAATAAATATACGAACTAGAAACTGCACAGCTAAAATGGCTAAAACTTTCATACTTTACTTTGAAAAACTCATGAAGAAATCAACATGGGTAATGACACCTAGATCTTTTGGTGGAGGCACTGGTAAAAAGAGAAGTAGCTTAATCATCAACATAGATGTAAGCTAAGAAGCTGTTAGAGGCCTTGAGAATTGATGAAAGTAGTAATTCCACAAAGTTGCACTTGGAGAGTGTTTCTGTGGGTGTGTCCAGAAGCGTGGAAGGGTAATCCCTTTGCAATTATTTTTCTTGAGTTCCTGGAATTTAAACCATGTCTTTGAGCATGACATAATAGAAAGATCATTGAGTTTGGAGTTGGAGGAAAAAACATTTGTCAAGCACTTACAATATGCAAAGTACTGTGCTAATAAGCACAGGGGTTACAAATGGAAAAGGAAGATAGTCCCTGCTCTCAAGGAACTCGCATTCTAATGGGGAAGACAACATACAGGAAGTTAGAATTGCAAGTACGACGGAAAGACACAGTGACCTGTAGAGTACAGTGGCAAAGCAGATGGTAATGTATTTCTTTTAGTGTCATTTCTACTGATAAGTCTTTATCTATTTCTGAGGTTGAATCATTTGATGTGCCAAAGACTTCTGAGTGAGAATGTTCTCTTCTCGGTCTTCAGTCGCTGTAGCTACTGAGCAGGTGGAGGCTGTAGCATCTGCAGAGGAAGTTGCTAGGTCAAATCTCCACAAGGGTTGTTCCCCTTGATGATAGCTTTGGGAAATGGGCTGGAAGCAGGATCAGTGGTTTGGCGTCTGTGGGTAACTAACTATTACTAGGGTTTATGGAATTTACCTATCCATTGGTGGCAGTTGGTTGATAGTTGGTGTTATTGGTCGTGGGGATGTTGGGGGCTCTTTCTCCACTAGGGTTGCTTCTCTAAAATGATAGCTTAAGGGGGGCTAGGCTAGAAGTAGAGCTGATGGTCGGGGGGGGGGATACTGTTATTCTAGGGCTCTTGAGTATAGGACTCTGGGGTTTAAGGGGAAGTGTTAGCTGAGATATTGGTGGTTTTATTCTCTAGGCACTAGAAAACTTCCCTCCTTCTCCCCTCCTTCAGAAAGCTCAGCTATTTCAGTTAAGCAGGGTAGCCTGCTCCATTGCTGACAGTCTTTCACTGAGTGCATATAATGGATGACCAGAATTTATTACTGAATATAATTTATCTACTAAGTCCTGGGACAGAATTGTGGAAATGAAAGAAGTTGGCATCTAATAATTTTTTGTTGCCTGTTTGGTTATACCTACATATATTGTTTATTTTATTATTTCTTTATTTGTGAAGCTACAAATAGATAGTATGGGTCACTTTTAGTGCATTTGGTACATTTTCCTCAAAGCATCCAAGATAGTTCTACTTATACAGTATGTCAACATATTAATAATAGTGAAGGAAACAACACCTCTGATCTCAAGGCTGTTTTTCTAGGGGTCAGCAAAAAAATATATGCAGTGATGCTCTGGGCATCCTCATATAAAGGCAGGTAGGTGGCCTAGTGGATAGAGTTCTAGATGGAGTCAAGAAAACCTAAGTTGATAACCTGTCATATACTGCTGGTATATGTGCCTCAGTTTCCTCATCTGCCAAATGAGGGAGATGAACTTATTGGTTCCAAAGACCCTTCTAGCACCAAATCTATGATCCTATAATACCCTCCTTAGGTCTGTTATTGTTTCAGTTCATGCAGAATTGTTGGCTGCATGAACTTCAGAAGAGGGGTGGACCATCTGGTTACTCTGCAGTAAATATGTGGCCCTATGGAACACTGCAGATATATGCACTTTAGAGAGTCTGTACACTCTTTTCCTCTCTTGGCCACTCCTCCAATACATATTGGGAAGATATACTTTTGTCAGCTGCATTTTTCATGCTGGTCAGCCTTAAGGAAGAAGGAGGAGAAATTTTTTCCCTTCCCTCACCTGTGTAGGAGGATTGAAAATGCTTGGTACCCAGGTAGGTATTGCTTCTCCACAAGGAGATTGTTACCCATCAGGGTTCTTGATATAAAGAAGCACATCACAAAAAACATTAAAAAAATTAAACATTTACCTGAACTTTTGACGTTAGCTCGGTAATTTTTGCTTTCTCAGCTTGTATAGTCACCCTTTTAATTATCTGTAGTAAAAAGGAGAAAGCTTTGTTAATGACTCTCCATTGTCTCTCGTTATCCTCTATACTTCATGACTCACTAAAGTGATTGTTTATATGGGTTAAATTGATTTGGAAGCTGAAAAATTACTTTTCTTGGAAGACTGTCCACAGTTTAAACAGAAAACAAAACAAAATTCTAAGGCTTTTAATTTTTTTTTGTAAGTAAGCCATTAAAATGGGAAATAAGAATGGGACTGAATTTTTATGGTTGAGAAATTTGCAAAAAATAGTTTTTTCTTAAAAAAGCATCTGTTTATCAAGATCATACCATGCTGTAGGATTGTTTTAAATGTCACTGAAAGGGGATTATTTGTAGTAAGATATTTTATTTCTGTTTTGTCTTCACAGGAAAAATTAACCCAAGAGTGTGTATTCAGAGAGCAGTTTGAAGAAAATTGGTATAATACGTACTCATCGAATCTGTACAAACACGCGGACACTGGAAGGCGATATTACGTTGCATTAAATAAAGACGGGACTCCGAGAGAAGGGGCTAGGACTAAGCGGCATCAAAAATTCACACATTTTTTACCTAGACCAGTGGACCCTGAGAAAGTCCCTGAACTATATAAGGATATTTTAAGCCAAAGTTGACAAAGACAATTCCTTCACTCGAGCCCTTAAAAAGTAACCACTATAAAGGTTTCATGCGGTGGGTTCTTATTGATTCGCTGTGTCATCATATCAGCTCCACTGTTGCCAAACTTTGTCGCATGCATAATGTATGATGGAGGCTTGGATGGAACATGCTGATTTTGTTCTGCACTTAAAGGTTTGTCCTCCTGGAGGAGAGCCTATGCCCACTCGCTTGATTTATTATGAAAGACAGAGTGTGAGAGTGAGAGAGAGAGAGAGAGAGAGAGAGAGAGAGAGAGAGAGAGAGAGAGAGAGAGAGAGAGAGAGAGTAAGAGAATGAGTACATGAGTGAATGAGTGTGAGAGGGGGAGATGGAAGCTAGAAGTGAAAGCAAAGAGGAAAAAGGCCTGATGCATGCTGGGAAATAGACACGCTTTTAAATTTTTGGTCAGTTGTATTTCATCATATATCAGCATAGCTGCCATACTTCGACTCATCAGGATTTCTGGCTGGTGGCCTGCTCAAGGGTACGCTGCATTGACAAAGACATGGAGGGTGCAGTCTTACTTAAAAAAAAAAAAGACTTTTCAGTTTAATTGCTTGCTGGTATCATCCCAGTGAGCTTAAAGCAAAGACCTCTTAGTAAAAAAAAAATAAAAAGTTAAATTTATTTATAGAAATTCCAAAGGCAACATTTTATTTATTTTATATATTTATTTATTATATAGAGTTTATTTTTAATGAAATATGTACAGGCCAGATAGGCATTTTGGAAGCTTTAGGCTATGTAAGCATTAAATGGCAAAGTCTGCTACGAACCTGTGGTAAATTCATGCAGTAACTATAAAGGTGCATGGATACAAGAAATTCTAGTGACCCTAATGTACTGAAAGGTGACAATCTCTTTGTGTCCGTATTATTGTACAAGTATGCACACCACTCATGACCCTGAGTATTCACTCTTCAGACTGCTTGTTTCATAGCTTACCCCCAGAGGATTAAAGATCAAACTGGGTCTCAAACTCTTATTCTGTGTCTGTAATATTTCCTCTCTGATTAAGTGGCTTATTCCATCATTGTAACTTCACAGTTGTGGAAAAATATAAGGGTTGGTATATATTCTACTTGTTTAAACCTACTGCAAATTATACCAAAGCTAAACAATAAATATGCTTTTTTATTTTTTAGTAGATTTCCAGAACAGCAGGACTAACATCACCATTGTACTAATTTAAGGTCTCAAAAAAAAAGGAAAAAAAGAAAGAAAAAAGCTTACATAGCACAGAATTATCTTCAAGAGGCAAGAATCAGGTTAATAGGATCACTCTTGTAAACATTTTTTATTTGTTCACTTGGCTATCTTACTATGAAACGATAAAAGTTCCTTAGGGGTCATTGTAACATCTTCTATGGAAAACTGCTTTCAGTGTGAACTGTCATCATACATGATACTAGCACCCTTCTTAAAGTAAAACTTGCAAAATGAAACTAATAAATCTTTATCGATAATGACAATGAGGGAGAAAGCATTATACTTGTTGGCTGTGTTTTGTTTTTCAAAATGGTCTTCACAAGCGCTCAAGTTTTTTTTTTTTAAGGGGGAGGTTACAATATATAATATCTTTTACAAGACTTTTTATAATGTTTTATGCTGTCAAGCATAGGAATACATATTTCTTTAGTAGCAATAGTTTTGGAACTTGCCCTTGGGCAAGGGAGAATATTTCTTACTATATACTAAGGAAAATAGAGCCAAATTCTTAAAGCAATATTTAAGAAAAAAGGAATTTATAACAAATTCCCATACCACAGCTAGCCCTTTCTAGCCAGTTATGATGGGAAATTGAGAGTGACAGTTAAAAAAAATGTTTGGAGATTCATATTCCTGAACTACTTTTAATTTAATATTCCCACTTTGTTTTGCTCTGATGCACATTATGTAGGACAAAGGTATGGCACTGGCAAATTTAAAGCAGGTATGAAATATCAGTACATGTCTCAGTGTCCTGAGCTTGTATTCTGAGGTCCTTAAGTTGGAGTAGGTAGCAATGCCCTCCTCATGAGTTGCATTATGAAAAATTCAATCTAGTAATATGGTATTAAATAGGATTTTTTTTTTGGGAGGGAGTGGGCAGCAGTGATAATAATGAGTTGATTTAAGGTGGAGGTTAGAATTGCCTATTCCCTTGTCTTAGGATTAGTTCTATGTCTAAATAGTAACTTGCATTTAAGTCCAAGTAAGATTCTTATTTATTTTTAAACCCTTAACTGCTATTGAAATATGCACATATTCAGGCTTTAGTTTTCCATAAAATATTTGATTCTTTTGATGGAAAAGTATTAAGTATCTGCTCAGGAGAGAACCAAATTTCTGAGATGTAGAAGATATGACGTTCAGCACTGAAGAAGTTCATTTTAGTCAATTGCTAAAAGCCTCATTAAAGTAGCATTAGAAGTCAGGTAGCCAGCCTCAAAGAAAAGAAAACCCAACCACAAAGAGATTCATGGACAAGACTAAGATGTCCATGAGTTAGTTCATGCAAGAATGCTACTTTGATGTGTACTTTGGGAGTTCATATTGTTCTGGTCTCTTTTTAAAGAGGAAGAAAAGTAAAATGTTATGTGCTTTTGGCAAGTGATACAATAAATTGTAACGGATTATTCAAATCTTCATAATGGTGTGTAAATAAATAAGTGCTGACTTATGCAATTTATGTAAATAGGTGTTATTGGGAGGGGAGGTTTTGCTGGCTCAGGGTTTTGGCATGGGCATTGTATTGCTGGGCTATGGAATGTTTCATCTCTAGCTTGTTGATTTATACCCATCTCATGTCACTAGTGACCAAAGGTCTAATTGATGGCAACTCTTAGCCTTTGTGGAATGAGCTGTTCCCTTTTTCATAGCCACATGCTCATGCCACCAAATCATTACTGTGTTGGTGCCAACTTGCACCTTAGTCAAAGACTGAATGGGAATGGATTGACCCACCTATCCTTTCATCTCTCATGTGAACCTTCCCAGGTGGTGTTGAAGGACATGAGCAGGTCAGAGTCACGTGGGTGCTCACCCTGCCTGGGCCTATTTTATAGAGAAATGGACAGCTTTGTCACTCTATGACACCCCTTCTCATGAACATTAAACATTGACTTCATGTTGTCTACCTGATAATCTGTAATTGTATGTAAATACATACACAATTATGTCATTTGTGTAAATACATAATTACAGACTTTTGAAAAATGGTATTTTCTACTTGATGTCCATTTTAGAGCTGCTTCAGATGACTGTGCCTACATGAACCACTGGAATTTGGAAAAAAAATGTTCTCCTTGCTCTTACCTCTGTTGTGCGTGTGTTGAGTGAGGGTATGGAGGAGGGGGTGGGAAGCAAACCCGTTAAGATATTTTTTCTTTCCTGCAAGTTTGAGGAGACAGCTTTCCAAGATGGTACTTGGATCACTTGGAACCAAAAGAATTCTATGTGCATGTGCTTTTGAGGGTGCATATGTGTATGTGTGTGTGTGTGTGTGTGTGTGTGTGTGTGTGTGCGCGCGTGTGCGCTTATGGATATGGAGGGTTGAATGGAAAAAGGAGAAATTATAGTCAGTTTGCTGCATCTTTTGACCTTGGTGATATGCTAGATTTAGATCAGTTACAACTGGTAATTTGCAAAATAGTCTAATAAGCAAATCTCAGTGAGGGAGATATTGCAGGTTACAAGAAAAGAAAAAAAATACCAAATAACTCATAAATGCATGCATTTTTGGTTTTTTTACATGTAATATATATGTATATACGTGTGTGTATGTATATATATGCATATACACACACATACACATACATGTATATGTACTATGTCCACCATATTTATCCAAAGAAATTTTCTCCTTTTTAAGTGCATATTTTGCTGTTAAATTGGAATTGATGAGGAATTATGGGGACAAATGTCTCCTGGCTGTTGCTGTGAAGAGATATCAAACAAGGTACCCAGCAGCTGTGGTAGGAGCATCATTTCCCTGTCGCCCTCCCCCCAGCCTCTGAAGGCTTGGTAAGAGCAGTTGGAAAAATGTAAACATTGGTTAAGCAGGTTTCCTTTTCTTTCAGCAAGTTAAATCATTCCTGCCTCTTCCAGTGTTCTTACTAAGTTTTAAATATAATGTCTGGGGTGGGGTGGTGGCAATGTATATCAAAAAAGTAAAAATATGTATTTTCTCTCTCTCTCTCTCTCTCTCTCTCTCTCTCTCTCTCTCTCTCTCTCTCGCTATCCTGATATGTTAATATGTGTTTTGCTCCTGTCTCCAAAGAGGCACAAAGAGCACGCAGTTACCAGGTAGCGAGTGCCTGATCTCTGGCCAGGGCTGGATATCAGGTTGAAAGCCACAGGGGAAGAATAAAATGCTGGGAGTGAAAGTTTCATTGCTGTTTCAGCAGACAGTGGAAGCTCTCCAGCTTGAGATACATACTTAGACATTCTCTCCTTCCCCAGAGAAGCTTTGTTCACCACGATTCCATGATTTGTCCAAGTGAATTAAAACTAATAAAAAATGTTTGTAAAGGGGAATTTAGGTTCAAATTTTCCATTTTTTGAATACTGGAGTTAGTAAATCAGAGAAAAAGCTTTCCATTTTGCTTTTAATTTCTTCACTTGAAAGTAGCCTCTCATTTATTTATTGGCATCTTTTTAATCCCATCCCATTTTTTTTTTTGGTTTTGAAAGCTGCTGTTCTTTGGAGTGAGAATATTGAGATCCTTCTTTCTTTTCTTTTGTAGGAATGTACAATTCCTTAACAATTCTTGGCAGTTGTATTTGTCTGGGCTCTGTCTCTCACTGCTCCCAACCAGAAGTTCCCTTAATACTACACAGTCCGACCTCTGGCACTAGTAGTTCTTGCCATCATTTCCATTGCCATGAGTGAACTTGGTGCCAGGAAAATATGATGCTGGTACCAAGGAGTTAAAAGTTGTGCAATGGGAATATCCAAAGTGTGGACCACGGGTTCTGCCCTTGCTACTTGGGAAGAATGTGGAAAACATTGTTGACAGTATGTAAGGCCAGGCTCAGGAATCGGGAAATGGATTTTTCTAAAATACTCATAGATGCTTTTTCCTGTTTCCTGACCATATTGTGGGATATTGCAAAACAGTCTAAGTTCAACCTGGCTGCTGTCTAGTGCTTCTGCTGTGTACATGTGCCCTGGGTTTGTAAATTATAGCTTTGTGAGCACTTTCCCCAACTATCTCTTAACCAGCAGGAGGGCCTTTTCAGTCATTGAACCTATGTAGATACTCAAGTTTATAGCTGTAACAGTTGGGAAGAGGCAATACTCAGAGCTCCTTATTATCCTTTGGTGGAAAAGCCAGTAATCTCTATGTCTCTAAGCATATTAAAAGAGTGTTTCATTCTCAATACCCAAATGCCTCTGGGAACTCATCATTGCAGCTAGGTGGTATAGTGGGTGGAGTGCCAATTCTGGAGTCAGGAAGACCCTAGTTCAAATCTGACCTCAGACACTTAGTAGCTATGTGACCCTGGGCAAGAATCTTTACCTCTGCCTCAATTTCCTCATCTGTAAAATGGGATAGGGGCACCTACTTTCCAGGGATATTGTAATGATCAAGTGAGATAACAATGTAAAGTGCTTAGCACAGCGCCTGACACATAGTAAGCACTATATTAGTTCTTACTATATTAGTTCTGTTCAATGTGCTGGTGGGTCTTCCTTTTTTTTTTTTAAGACATCACAAGAATACCAAGGAAGCATAAAGACCACCTATGTAGCTTATGTAGACTACCTATCATTTATTTTAGGCACAATGCTGGCCTGTCCTTTTCAGTCATGATTTTTTTTTATGACATTTCTAATCCAACAGTGTATTTTATAATTTGATGCCTGTCAAGTAAAGAGGGTTGGAATAAGAAGAGTTAGGAGAAGTATTTTTGTCCAAGTCCTATTACTATCTACTAAGGTTATTATGTAACCTTGGAGAAGTTATTCAGCTTGTCTGGGCCTCAGTTTCCTCATTTGTAAAATGAGTAGGTTGGACTAGGTCTATAAGGTCATTCAGCTCCAAAATTCTATACTCTTTAACTGAGGTTCCACTGTATATTTTTGGAACATTGTTCATAGCTGGATGGGTCTATACCACTTCAATGGAAAGACTTTGTTGGTTTGATTTAAAACCAACTGGTTGGAGATTAGCAGGGACCAATACTCATGGCCTCCTTACTATTGGTGTTATGTGGATTTGTGGCTGAAACCTGGACTCTTTCAGTCAGATGAACTTTTTGCTATGTGCAACCTCCCCACCCCCATGACCACCAAGGTCTTTTGTTTTGTTTGGCTCCTTTATCATACTTTTCTCCTCGTATATCATCTACGTAACATGGCAAGCATGATGCACAAAATCATAGATTTAGAGCGAAAGGAATCTTAGATGTTATCTAGTTCAACGTTTATTTATAGATAAAGAAATTGAATCTCACAGAGCCTAAGTGATTTGCCTAAGGTCCCACTGCGAGAAAGGGGCA